GTGCTTTATGTTACACAACCTGCTCATCATCATCAGTAGCCTGCTCTGCTCTAAGTAGATTATCTGTATACACCTTCTCAAAGAATCGAAACCTAGCATGAGCCTCTCTGGTGGCTTTAAACTCCCTCATGGCAGCCTCTGGGTCAACTCCCTAATCAGAAGATACAACATACACAAGACATTGTCCAGTGTGATAGACATCTAACCGTGTGGTTGATGAAATGATGATGGCTTTGTATGCCATCTCTACAAACGCATTAAACATACCATGATTAACCTTAACATAACCGGTCTTGCACAAGTCTTGCATCCCAGATAGCTACAAAAGATTTTGAAACTACTGTTAATTAGGTTGTTGCAGGCCAATAATTTTCGGGCCATGGTTGATAAATTTTAGCAGATCACTGTCTTGCAAAAAAAATAAATCATTGTCAAAATCTTTTAATATTATAACAAACATAATTTAAAAAGTATGAACCCAACTAAATTTTACCTCTCCGTTTCAAACATGTCTGACAGTATGGTCTGGGTAAAGAGATAGCAGTGATAAGTCTAATGTGCCTCCTTTGAACCCTTGTGATGCCTCAGGTGTCTTTCTTTCCATTTGGGTTTGAGGTCCCTCGAGTACCTCTGTTGCCTCATGTGTCTAGGGCACCTCAAGTACCTCTAGTGTCTGAGGTACCTTTGCTGACTCGGGTACCTTTGCTGCCTCGAATGCCTGAATATGTGAAATCTATCGCCTATGGAAAGATAGAGACATGGATGCATAAGTAAGTGACACAGGTCTCCAACTGGAAGAAGAAGGCGAAGATACATTTGTCCTAGAATTTGACACCTTCACATCAAACAGGCTAGAGGTAACAAGATCTTGCGATGGTTGACTCTTTTCTTTCCGAACAAATGCATGTTTTGCAAGTCTGTCATGCGTCAATTGATCATGTCTAGCAGCCATAATGCATGTAAGTAAACCACACAAGTGTTACATAATGAGTACAAGCAAAACAAAAAACAAAAAACATGCAGACTGAAAAACTCCAAAGATGCATATCTGATTTCTGGGAATTAAAACTTTAGCAAATTTCGAAGATGCGTCTCTAGAATTTTCTACAACTCGCAACAACGTCAATGGTTGTAATGCAGCCCCCTAAAATAACAAAAATAGTGCATTGATCAATAAAACTACCTATCAAAAATATTTTTCATTATGCATAAACTATCAAATCAAATGTGTATAAATTATATATTTCAAAACCTAATTATCAATTTCTACAAATTTATACAAAAACTCAAAAAATAAAATTAGAAAATTCATAGACTTACAAATTGTGAGTTTACTTCAGTGTTGAAATCAAATGTGTATAAATTATATATTTCAAAACCTAATTATCAATTTCTACAAATTTATACAAAAACTCAAAAAAAAATTAGAAAATTCATAAACTTGTAAATTGTGAGTTTACTTCAGTGTTGAATGAGCTCCTTGATGGACTTGATGTTGATGGAAGAAGCTTTGAAATTGGTCAGATGATTTTAAGAAAAAAGTGAATTGAGAGGGTTTAAAAATCTTAAAAGTGTTTTTTTAGAACTGAGAAAGGGTTCTGACACATTTTTGAACAAAATGCATCTAGAGATTCATCTTTGTAAATTACACGGAGATGCGTAAGATTTTTTCAATTAACTTAGAGTCTGTTTAAGAAATATATTCAGTTGAAATGTGTCCAAAGATTCATTTCTGAAATCTAGGAGTATTATATTTTTATGAGGTGTGTTATTAAAGCATAAGATGCATTAAGAAACCTCCCACTTAAATTATGCATAACACAGCTAGGGGTGACAAATAAACATACCCGCCCCAAAAAAATTGAGTGCAGGATAGGATTGACCCGCAAGCATTACACTTTTTAAGCTTAAAAGTTACAAATTTTATGTTAATATCCGCACACGTAAAAAAAATTGAACAAAAACATGTTAAAGAATTCAGAAAAACGAACATGCCAAACAAACCGGACCTAATTTGTCACCCCTAAATGCGGCAATGAAGAAATGAAATATGAGTTGTCTTGAGTTAATACACCTTTCTAATATTTGAATGCAATTTTTTCCTATTCCAACTTAACATTGATGTCCAGTGAAAATTTGGTAATGTTATTTGATGTTAACTTTAATGTACTTTGCTTGATTTTGAAATAAGCATGATAGATTTGGTAGTGTTATTTGATGTTAACTTCAATGTACTTTGCTTGATTTTGAAATAAGCCTGATAAATTTGGTAATGTTATTTGATGTTAACTTTAATGTACTTTGCTTGATTTTGAAATAAGCATGATAAAAAATATTATTTGTTGTTCTAAGATGTATACTTAAATCGATTATGAAAAAAATAGTTAAGAGTGTGTTCAAGAATGGTTAAAACATGAGTAGTGCAGCTTGTAATTTTTTTTCCTAAATTAAGTTTGATGATTGTGCTTATAATCATTTTATATCTAAAAGTACGTACTAGTTTTAAATTAGAACAATTTATTCAAATGAACCACAATCAATCCTGAAAACTACAATTGATTCTCAAGAACGACACCAACATTCTCTTGATCCACTATTTCACCATTCTATAATTCACTCGATTTATAACCACAGATCACACCAAAGTCAATAATTATATGTGCTGAGTTTAACATATGAGAAAAGTACTAAGCATTTCGGTGACCAGATCAGTTGGTCAAGAGAGAACAGATTGTATTTAGGACATTTGACCCTAAACAAAGTAAGCAAAATATAACAACAAAGAACTCCTAGGGTTCACAGAATCATCTGGTGAAGAGATTTAACAGCTGCTCATAACATCATATCCAACGCATAACCTAACCATAATGAGAGAAATCGGAGAAAGAAGATGGTGGGAAGAGTGAGAAAAAAGAAATAGAAAAGGGGAAAACCTTCACATGCAATTCACAATCACAAACATAATGTATCATTTGTACTCAGGAAAGGAAAAGTTCTAGAGTCATACAGAATCTCTCACTCATCGGTTCCTATAAAGTGAGCTCGCCTTAGGGGGGATAAAGTAAGACAGGCCAACCGTTAAATTAGGGGGGGGGGAATCAACTGTTTTAACACGTCATGATTTGCTATTCATATACAAAATATTAAGGTAACAGTTGATTTATTAATTTATGATTGAAAACATGATCACTTATTTATTCTCTAAAGCAAGTTGCTCCAATTATTGGCAATAAACCTTGGAAGTTTAAACCACAATCATATCAATTAACACAAACTCACAACACATAGAAGGCAAAGAAAATCAGTCAGTTTCATAGAATTGAAATTGCAGTGAAATATGGAAACATCACTGAACATGAAAACAAAAAAACAAAAAAAAATCAATTGAAGCATTACAAGGCTGATATGATTAAGTTCATATAAAGGGGGAAACTATACATACAAATGTTAACTGATGATCCTACACATATAACGGAACAACCCAATAGTTTAACGGAGAATTACCTGTTGAAATCATTTGCATTTCAGCATTTACTTAAAGAATAAGCTGTAAGTCAGCCAAGTGCTCAAATGCTGCATGATGTAACTCATTGCAGCAACATCCAGGTTCAGTTGAACTTATATAGAAGTTTTACCTAACCATGACAATTGCTTGGAAAAGGGAAAAAGGAAAAGAGAAAGGAAAAAAAAAGAAAAAAGAAAGGAAAAAAAGAATGCAGGACAATATAAGACACCGGATGATAATAATAATAATATTGGCAAATAGTACTTAATGCAAACACTGAAAATATATAAGCTCTCATTGCTCTCAACACTTATTGGGGAAAAAAGATATGCTCTGAACTGTATACCTTCATTTATAGAAGAGAAAATCAACCCAGCAAAACTGTATCTCAAAGCTCCAATGGATTTCAATGTGAATATAACCTGCATTTGTTTTGGGTATAACATGCCCATCGTACCACAAAACATGAGTAAAAATAAAAGGGAACCTGTGGTGGCTCACAACTAAACATGACCATACCACGAAAACCCCTAAAAGGTATACAATCTAGATACAAGAGACTAACAAGGCCACATGAACTAAAACTTAGAAGATTCAGTTTACACATTTCTACCATTGGCCAAAAAATTTTAGATGTATATCATCAGGAGATTGGTTTAAAAGGTATCTACGTTCATATAACAATAATTTCTGAAGGAATAGGACTAGAAACCATAAATATTCAGCTTCGACCAGATTTTAGAAGGAAAAAATATCAAGACACATCATAGTAAATTGTGACACCTTTAATTAAACAAGAACAGTATAGTTAAAATAACATTCCAACATACATCAATCAACCAGTAAAAGAAGAATGATATAGTGCTGCATGGTTGATCAACAAAAGCAGGTCATTTCTCGAAACCTTAAATCACACGGACAGCTATGGAATTCTACATCTGATCTTTTCCAACCCAACCTGCAAAAAGAAATAAACAATTGAAGATGTTCATAAGCCAACAGAGAATATTCTTGGGACCCAATCAAATACAGGAAGCATCTTCTGAGAATAGCATTTCTCCTAAGAGGAACAATCTATCTGTTACATCCTTAATTAGAATATGCTATTATCCCATAATCATTAACAGGTTGCATAAATCTTCAGCCATTGACAGAACCATAATCCGTGTGGTGCTTTCTCTGACAAGAGCATGCTCTAGTGACGGATAAATCATATCGGCTTCCAGTTAGACAGCTTCCCTGATCAGCATTTAAAAGCAATGAACTTTGATTATCCTCTTTTTTTTAAGCACCCCACATTGAGATAGTATAACAGAAACCTATACTTAAAGCTATATTGTTAGCATTGTTAAAAGCCAGGTAGAAACTTTGATATCATTGAGATCCATCACTCCTGTAAAGCACACAGAAAGCAAATTTGGATTTAATAATAACACATAAGTAATCAAAATTGTTCTATAATTAAGACCATTGGCTATTACCAAAGCAAGCTTGCTTAAAATTTCCCATTTCCAACTTCTTCCACACATGTCCACCCTGTATCAAAGAATAAGATTAGATTTTGAAATATCTAGCCTTACATGATTAATGTGTCTACACTAGGACTTTTCATACCTGGGTTATCATCAGCTTCTGCATTTTCAGTCCATCCATCTAACTTTGTGTTCTCATTCTCAGAAATCAATACCCCATTACCATTCACGCAAAAAATTGGTTCCTGTGTGACATTTTCATGTTGGGATTTTTTTTCACCGGTACCATTTTCTCCATCACTCAAATGATGCTTAACTTCTGCATATGCAGAATCAAAATTTGTTTTTCCTTTTGATTCATACTTTTTGAAATTTCTTGGGGAGGGCCCACTCCCATCATATTGCTGATGATTTTCTGATCTCGATTTAGACAATGTTTTCTCTTGATGCTCTGATCGTTCATCTTTATTTTCATAGTTATCACTGCAGTGATGCTTGGCATTAGGAGACTTTGACCTGAATCTTTTCTGTTCAATATTGCTCTCGTCTCTATGTGATGAAGTGCCTCCTTTATCATGCTTCCCTTCCGATGATATTGACCTGGAACGCCTTCTATCACGATGCTTTGATTTCTTATCTCTATTTTCACCGGATTTACCTATAGAATGATGCTTCCCTTCATCAGACTCTGACCTGTTGCATTTTGTATCATGATGTTTTGACTTTTCATGTTTGCTTGCATCCTCTCTTACATCAGACCGGTCCCTATTTTCCATAGATCTTGATCTGGAGTGCCTTTTATCACTATGTCTTGATCTTCTATTTCTGTTCTCATCAAAATTTCCAGACAAGTGACGCTTATCATCCACAGATTTAGACCTGGACCGCCTCCTGTGCCTGGATCTGCTTTCATCCACTTTTCTTGGGGATGATCGCCTCCTTTGAGGCCTATCGCCCACAGATATGGACCTGGAGCGCCTTCGCTCTCTATGTTTGGATTTTTCAGGTAAGATTTCTTCATTTTTGTCAGAGTTAACCTTATCATCTGAAGATATTGACCTTCTATTTCTGTTTTCATCAAAATTCCCAGACAAGTGACGCTTATCATCCACAGATTTAGACCTGGACCGCCTCCTGTGCCTGGATCTGCTTTCATCTACTTTTCTTGGGGATGATCGCCTCCTTTGAGGCCTCTCACCCACAGATACAGACCTGGAGCGCCTTCGCTCTCTATGTTTGGATTTTTCAGGTAAGATTTCTTCGTTTTTGTCAAAGTTAACCTTATCATCTGAAGATATTGACCTTCTATTACTGTTTTCATCCAATTTGTCAGACAAGGGATGCTTATCGTCCACAGAATTTGACCTGGACCGCTTCTTGTTCCTGGGTCTGCTTTCGCCCACTTTTCTTGGGGAAGATCGGCTCCTGTGAGGCTTCTCGTCCACAGATACTGACCTGGACCTCCTTCGCTCTCTTTGTTTGGCCTTTTCATGCAAGACTTCTTCATTTTTGTCTAAGTTCAGCTTATCATCTGAAGATCTTGACCTTGAGCGCCTTCTGTTTCTTATTGCCTTTTCAACAACCTTCGGAGAAGACCTACTTCCTCTACGATTACTTGGAGAACCAGAATCGGCACGAGACTGTTTTCTTCCTCTATGAGATGAACTTCCTCCTTGACGTTTTGGAGAAACAGGGGATCTCTTTGAATGAGGGCTCACACTCCTACTTCTGTTTCTTCTCGAACCAGATGAATGATTATCAAGAAATCTATCTGAATCTCGTCGTCTGTACCTATCACTATGTTCCCTGCTGCCTCTATAGGACCTCCAGTCCCTTTCATACCTTGAATGATGATGGAACCTCATTGGTGACCTGGACCGATTAACCTTAGAATTGCGCGGAGGTGAGTAGGAACGAGACTTCCTCCTTCTCCTGTAATTGATAGGTGATCTTGACTTTGATCGTGATCTTACAGGAGGGGGAGAAGGTGATCTACAAAAGGGAATTGAACTTTAGTTTCAGAGACCTATGAAAATAAAATAAATTACAATAGGGTAATGAAGGATACATAATTCAAAAAAGTCATGCAAAACAAGATTCTGTCACAATAGATCATTTCAAAATAAACAGATCCTGATAGAGTTGCCAATTGCCAGGTGAAACCAACAACATGTTACTTCCTTCTTATTTTAGCTGCCTTTGACTTCTACAAATGTAGGCCCGCCATTTCTAACTAGAAAAAAATATAGGAATTTCATTTGATTCAAAAATTTCAACCATACTACTCTGATGTTCGAAACCTATAATAATTTTGCCAGCCATTAAGGTATGAGCTCAATTATGTACTTAAAACAAATTTATTATCCAAATTGTACATAGCTTTTTTCATGAAAAATATCCTTTCTGCTCATACATAAGAAAAACATATCAAGCATCATGGAATTCACCTCAGTATAATAGTGATGATGCATAAGACGAACACTTTCTTTTACAAAAAAGTCCATTAATAAGTGTATATATATATATATATACATATATATATATATATATATATATATATATATATATATATATATATATATATATATATATATTTTTCTATACTATCTGGATATTTAAATGTAGCATACCGTTCGGCTTTGCCTCATGTTTTGGCATCATCATTACATTATAATGTAATATACTGATCTACTTAACCTCGTTATGTTCTATAAAACAAAGTATTTCACCAAAGGAATAACAGACACCAGAGAGAGGGAGAGAGAGGAGATGCAATGAACAACGTATAAAAGGGATGTGTTCTTTATGGCAGATCTTATAAAGTAAATGACTATGGCTTTCAGTTTGCCTGATTTGTTATGTGACAATCTTAAACACACACTTAAGGCTCTTTTGCTCAATTTGCTACATCTAATGTTTTTTGAAGCACTGTCTTGTGAGCTCGTGATTCCTAAATTACATGTGCAGGGCATACTACTAATGAATTTCAATTAGTTACAACAATAAAATAAAAATTGAAAAAAATTAAACAATGAGCAAAAATATTATACAACAACAACCAAGCAAACAAAAATAGTCCACATTAGTCTTAAAACAATTGACAAATCATCACACCTGGATTTCTGTTTCGTCTCTTTTTCTTCATTTTCAAGTCCATCAGGATTCAATTTCTTACTTATTTCTGCAGCCCGTGCTGCGGCTAAATCTGTGGCAGATTTCATGGTTGCAGCTCGGTTAGCAGCCTGTTGTGCAGTCATAGTTTGTTGCATAATCAGTGCTTGCTGGAACTGCATTTGTTGCATGGCAACAGCTTGCTGCATCATCAAAGGAAGAGAGGATGAAGCAAGTGAAGAGTTTGTAGTTTGTTTTGGCGGAAGGGATTTTGCCATTTCAACATTCAAAGGACGCCCCCCAACATCAATGTTGTTTAATGCCATAGCAGCAGCAGCCTCTTCGGGTTTTGAGTATTCTATATAAGCAAAATGCTTGGAATCAGTGATTGTACATTCAAGAACAGTGCCACAGAAACCAAAGAGTTGTTTAAGCTGCTCCACAGTAAGAAGTGGGCTAAGATTGCTAACTTGAAGAGTTTTCTTCAACACATCCTCCTTATTAGCTTTATCAGGTGAACCTAATAGTGGTAGCAAAATCAGTTGTAATGAGCAACTAGAAACAGTAAAAAGACAATAAAAAATGCCAATAAAGCCATAACCAAGTATAGTGGAATATCAAGGAGAATAAGTACTCATCATATATAAGAGCTTGGGAATGAAGAACATATCACCCAACACAACAAAAATTAAAATATCACACATCATACCAGCAGAATCTTTTGCTGATTGAGCTTGAACCTGAGCTGCATGAGCTTGAAGGGCTTGGGCAGCAACTATTGCCTGAGCGGCGGCCATTGCAGCAGCGGAAGGTGCCATTGGAGCCTGGCTGAGTGTTCCCATTGAAGTAGTCGCAGCTAAGGCAGTCATTAGCAAATTGTGAGGTGGGTGATTCAACTTACAATCAACTTTTGCACAGCGCCCATTCAGGTAATCACGACAAACTTCGCCGAGTGAGGCCCCAATTCCTGGCAGAATAGCACCCCCAGAAGCTCCGGCAACAATTCCTGGAATCATTCCCAACAATCCTGGAAATGACCCTGAGACAGAGCCAGAGTAATTTGGCATGTTGGGCATAGTTTGATTAACCAGATTTGGAAATGAAGATGGAGGAGCTAAACCTAGCAGTCCTCCATTACTATTACCTACAACATAAACAAATCAAGATATTGAAATTTAACTACCATAGATAGAGGTTATCAAACAGGCCAAAATTTGATAGGTATAAAAAAGAGACCGGTCAGAAATTGTAGTTATCAATCCCGGATAGTGACACGTAGTGGCTTCCCACAAAACGGCGCGGTGGGATATTATAAATAATATACTATATAAAACAAATATCTTTTTCTGAAACATGTCTCTGCAATTGAGGCCTGATAATGGCCATTACAGCAAACTGCTCGCTAAATACTTTCATCAGCGGCCAATCGCTATTTACATCGTATATAACAACTCAAAAGAGCTACACAGCAGTTTCACATATTTACATTCAAATACAAAGAACATTAAAGTGCCAGCACATGAGTAATGATGAATACCTGCACTAAAAAACACAGGGAAAGGACTACCCATGATTGGCTTTCCATTACATTCAACATTGACCATATAATTCCCTCTCTTAGGCACCACATAAGTAACAGTATAAGTTCCATCCCCCATATCCTTCACAATCCCTTCTTGATCAGACCCTCCAACACCCAAACCCGGTGTCACTTTCACCTTGATCTGAGCACCACCCGTCGAAACCTTCCTCTCATCGGAATCTTTGGTCACCACACCAAACGAAGAAGCAGCACAAGCCGTTCCTCCAGCAATTCCAGTACCAGCAGCAGTGCACTTCGAAGGATCCACAGGCCCAATCGGCTTATGAGCCAAGTCCTCATACTCATCCGAGTCACTATCTGAATTAGCAGTGGTCCTCTTCTCGCGGCCTTTCTCCAAACCCTTAAAAGTTGCTTCGAAAGCAGCTTTTGCCGCGGCGTCTTTCTCAGCTTCGCTTTTGATCTTAGCTTCCTCAGCTTGTTTCATCCATACCGGCTTCACAACTGCCAAACTCCGATCAGCCATGAACCCTAACTTCAACAACAACAACAACAAAAATTGACGAACCTACAATGAAAACCTAATAGGCAAAGTAAATAAATCTTTCAAACTAATTGTTCAACTCAAAATAGGATCTAAATTTGAGCAATAAACCCTCGAATTAGGGATGAAAAAACCCTAGACAAAAGTGAAATAATTCTGAATCTGATTTACACGCGAATATAATCGAAAAAGGAAAACAATGAAACCGAAATTGTTCGGGTTTTGAACTGATTTTCCGGATTGGGGAGAGAAAAAGGCGGAGAAAGTTATTTGAAAACGATATCGGGAATTTTTTTGGGAAGAGGAAAACGCGATATGACTATAATGGGGCTGAGGGAAATATCGTGAGGGTTTGAGGGTTTGAGAGAAAGGGAAGGAAAAGGGGTAGAATGGGAAGAAAAAAAAGGAAGATGGCGGAGAAGAAGTCGTACCTGATGTCCGTGTGGCGGCCAAGTTTGGTGTTGGAGATTTGGGTCGAAATCTTGATAGACGAAAGATTGGGGTCAGTGTGATCTAGGGGAGAAAATTGCTTAAGTAGTGTTTTGTTTTTCTAGTGGATAATTAAAAATAGAAGTGTCTCCACTTGTTAAAGACTTTTAAAAATATATATGCGTTTAAAAAAAAAAAATCCAAATTAAAGAACGGGACTATTACAAATCAACGTAAACACAAATAAAATCTAAATTTATTTTAAAGTCATGACTTTGAATTTTATTTTTCCTCTTCGTTTTAAAATCTTCACCATTTCCTTTTTCTTTTTTTTGAAAAAATTTGAATTTCTTTTTCCTCTTCGTTTCTTCACCACTTCCTTTTTCTTTTTAAAAAAAAATATTTAACCTTCAATTTAGTTTTAAAATAGACTACCGGATCGAAGAAAAAATTCAAATCAAATATACGAAATACAGTGTTAGTTCTTCTTTAGAGTGAGATAAAATCATAATTAATTTATCAAATATAATAAATTGGGGAAACTTGTGTTTATATTATACATTAATATTTTTATATCTGCTATCAATTCATTATAAGTAGAATGCATATATTGTCTCATTTGTCTTTTTACCAAAATATTATTCCGCTATATTATGGATAAATTGGTAGCTAACAATCAATCCAATAAAAGTAGATTGCATACATTGCTTCATTTTCATTTGCCCTTTCACTAAAAAATTATTACACTATAATATGAATAAATTGATAATTAACAAATGTCTCAATTAATTTTCAATCATTCTTCTATTTACATGTCAAGTGTTAATTTTCTTTATACGTTCATTATCTCTTTTAATTCAAATTTTAAATCTCTCACACATTTCTTTTTCTCATACTTTCTTACTTTCATTTTAATTTTTATTTATTTATTTATTATTAATAAAAATATTAATAATATATTTTTTAATTTTAATAAAATAACACTATATATTTATATCACGGGTTACTACAACACAATATCTATTTTATTTTAATCAATTAATATAATAATTTAATAGACAAAATCTTTATTTTTAAATATTAATTTTTTTTCTTTTTTTATCTCGCGATTCTTTTTTTTCTTTTTATATAATTATTTAATACAATTAAATTTGTAGGATTATTGTTCACTTTACAATTAAATAAATCATTTTAAATTTTGCATTTGTATCTAAATACATTTTATCACCTCAATTAACTTTTTTATTTCACAGGTCATTATCGCATCAAAGTTTTCTTTTATATTTTTATTCGTCTCACGAGTCTTTTTTTTCTTCTTTTTGCATTATTATTTAATACAATTAAAATTGTATGATTATTTTTCATTTTACAATGAAATAACTACTTTCAATTTTACATCTGTATATATACAATGAAATAACTACTTTCAATTTTTCATTTTACAATGAAATAACTACTTTCAATTTTACAATGAAATAAATATATTTTATATTGTATCAAATAAACTTTTTATTTCGCGAATCACTATAAACACGATACATATTTTATTTTAATCAACAATTATCTTAATTTAAAAGATAAAATCTTTATTTTTAAATATTAAATTTTTTTCATCTCACGAGTCCCTTTTTTCTTTATATTTTAATTTAATTAAATTTATATAATCATTGTTCATTTTAAAATTAATAAATAATTTCAAATTTAAATACATATATAAATATATTTTATATCGTATCAAATTTACATATACTTTAAACATATTTTATACCATATCAAATGATTTTACATGTGCGGGAGCACGTGTATCTTACTAGTTCATAAGCAATCTAAATTTTTTTAAAGATAAAATGATAAGGTTATACATATTAGTCTCAAATTTTTATTTTTTTTAATTTCATTTTTACTACAACAAACATTATGGTTTCGGATCTAAAGCAAAACAAAGCAACTTTCATTTTCATTTTTCCCATAACTTTCATTTTTGAAAGCTTTTCTCACACTTAAATGTTGACAAAATGAGAAATGAAAGTTAATTCCAGTTCCGAAGCAAGATGAAACAACTTCCATTTATGTTTTTTTTATGACTTTCATTTTTGAAAGATTTTGTCTCCCTTAAATGTTCAAAATAAGAGGTTAAACAACACAGTAGCATAGCCTTTTTATTATCACAATTTTTTAATTTTTACTTATGTATTTTTCTTCTTCCATTTTTGCAACATATATTTGCTTCAATCATACTGTATGTTTAATTTTGGTTTCTTTTAAATTATTCTGACAATAGAACTTCTTGATAAGTATTCCTTTTCTAAAGTGATCACTTTTGTTTAAAGGTTAGCTTTTGTGTTTAATATTAATTTCTTTAATGTGTTAACTTTTGTTTATGTGTTAAGACATTGATTGTTTTCAAGTGTTCATCAATAACAACAAACTATAATCACAAATATCCCTCCAACAACATTGATCCTGGTGGTTAAAGAGGTATGCAAATCCTTTCCAAAAACTCAAGTTTGTTTCTTATTATTCACATCCTTTTTCTTCTTTTAAAATCATGTATACATTGGTTATAATGAAAGTGTACTGCTAAAAAAAAGGCACAAACCTTATCATCTTTCTTCTTTTATTGGTTTTGAAGTTATGGGTTACGTGGCACTTACCATATGTGTGATCGATTTCTAGGTTCACTCTATTTTTTTAAGCCATGCATCATGGATTTAAGTGTGTCTTTGTTAGTGTTATAGATTGTTTGTTTTCAATATTTGTAAAATTTTCAACCTTTTCCCAAACTGAATATGTTATGCAAAAAAAAAACCTTGATTTTTTTATGACACAACTATATTGTGTGAAGTTATAGATGGATGCACTAAATACAACATCTTTGTAAATGTTTGTGAATGATTTTATTATCTGTGTGTTCATGTCATCTATGTTAGTTTACTATGACTTTAAGTTTTAGTACTTATAATCCTTTAACATAACCAATTTAGGCTTATGTGATTTATGAACTGATCCATATTTATAGGCATACTGCAATATCATACTTTAAATACACTTTTGAAAACTGCACTTACCATTTGCAATCTGATAAAACAGTCTATTTTATATAAATTTATAGGTTATTTTGATTGTATAATTATAAACTGCCTTGTCGATTTGAAATACATATATCAATATTATAGCACTATTGCATAAAATATAATTATAGTAAAATGCATAAGCAAAGTATAACTAGAAGCAAGAGCAACCCGACAACAACATAAGCAAAGTTGAAAAATGATTTCAGTTTAGACCAATATTGATTCATGATCTTGACCATTCACCTCCATATGAAAAAATAAGAATGAGAAACAATCACAAAAAGAAAAGGGAAAATATTGCAAGTCATAATAGCGGCGGCGACAACGGTGGCGGTGGTGGGAATGATATTGTTAGACTTATCTTAACGGCTTTTATAATTGTTGTCACTTTTTCAATCACCAAACACATAATAGAATCCAAACCCTAATCTCAAAATTCATTAAACAAAAAATGCAATAAGAGCATAAAAGATCACGAAATTGAAATCAATCAAGATTTGCATGCACTTCTTCAACCTTCAACTTCATCAACCATAACTAAAGACGGAGATGTTGCACCATGATAACATTAACACAGATGTTTGTTTTTGTTGTGAATCAGATACCTTTAAACAAAGTATAAACTGTTTCTTAGCAAGAAACACACAAGGGTTAGGGTTAATAAAGAAGAAAACAACAAGGATTGGTTATTAAACTGTTATTCTTTCCTTTCTCTTAGAACAAGATTACAAGTATACAAGAATAACAAAATAACCTCTCTCTCTTGAAATTAGGATTTTATCTTCCTATTTTTCCTTATGCCAAGATTGAGAAACTAGCATCCTATTTATAATAAAATAGCACACTAACCTAATGGGCTTTTTAACAATTACCCATTACAAGCTAACTTAGGATACAAGCTAACTTAAATAATTGGGCTTACAAGCAAGACCCAATTCAACATGCTAACAACCCTAGCAATATTGACTAATGCATGTTAGAACAAACTTCGACTACAACACACATTAGTTGCGAACAGACTTCGACAACACTAGAGTTCGATCCAACATCTCACAAATCTCCACCTTGGATCTAACTCTATAACATCAAGAAACTAGCTTTCTTCATGCAGCTTTATTAACTGCATATAGTGGAAATACTTGCAATTGGGCAACGTCTTGGTGATCATATCAGCAGCATTATGATCTGTCGAAACCTTCAGCACTTAGACTTCTCCACGCTCGATTACCCCTCTGATGAAATGTAGCCTCACATCAATGTGCTTGGTTCGCTCATGATAGACGGAATTCTTCAACAGGTGTATTGCACTTTGACTATCACATTTAACAGTGATAACTCGACCTTGAAGTTTTAGCTCCTTTGCAAAACCTTCAAGCCACAATGCTTCCTTCACAGCTTCAGTTAGGGCAATATACTCCACTTCAGTGGTTGATAAGGCAACGACCTTCTGAAGTGTTGCTTTCCAACTGATTGTTATCCCAAACATAGTGAACACATATCCAGAGATAGATTTTCTAGAATCCATACAACCTGCATAATCAGAGTCGACATATTCTTCGATTGCTGCTTTACTATCTTCACCCAAAGCTCCACCATAAATTAAGACTCTATTCAGAGACCCATTTATGTACTTTAAAATCCACTTCAATGCTTGTCAGTGAGTCTTTAGTCATTCAGTCTTCTTTCGACTCCTCATAACTTCCTTATAGTCTATAGGTTCTTCATCTAGAACCTCACTAGCAGAGATTAAGGCATAAGCTATAAGACCTGCATACCCAAGTCTCTGAGGTGGCTTGATGACTCTCCTCGACCTGTCTCTTGCTAGCAGGTAATCATTATCAATCTCCTCATCTTCGACAACATCTTCTGCGTCTTCTCCAACTTCATTTGGGGTAAGCAATTCAGCATCAACATGCTCCACCTCAACAGGAACCTCTCTCTGTTCCAGCTCTTCGTCAGCATCATCAATTTTCTTGAAAGTCATCTCTGCTTCATTGAAAACTACATCTCAACTGGTGATACACCTCCTGTGACCTGGCTCTAGGCACCATAGCCTATAAGCTTTGACTCCTTCAGGGTATCCCATGAACATGCATTTTAGAGCTCTAGGTTCGACCTTGTCTTGCCTAATATGAGCATAGGCAACACAACCAAATACTCTCAGTCTGTCGAGACTAGATGGATGTCCCGACCAAACTTCTTCAGGTGTCTTCATTCTCAAGGCAATCGAGGGACATCTATTTATCAGGTAAGCTGCTGTCGAAACAGCTTCCGCCCAAAACACCTTCTTCAATCCAGCACTAACCAACATGCATCTAACCCTTTCAAGGATTGTTCGATTGAATCTCTCAGCTAAGCCATTTTGTTGAGGAGTACCTGCTACAATCTTATCCCTTGCAATCCCAGACTCAACACAGTAACTGTTGAACGCTTCGTTGCAGAATTCAAGGCCATTGTCGGTTCTCAACCTCTTAACCTTTCTGCCAGTTTGAGTTTCGACCAGAATCTTCCAACTTTTGAAATTCTCAAAAGTTTCATCCTTCGTCTTCTGAATGAATACCCATAGCTTTCTGGAATAGTCATCAACGATGGATAGAAAATACCTTGCACCTGAGTGTGAAGGATTCCTTGCAGGCCCCCAAAGATCAACATGAATGTAATTCAGGGATCCATGTGTTCGTTGCTTGCCTTTGTTAAACTTCTCCATACAGGATTTACCAAATACACAAGATTCACAAAATTCCAACTTTTCGACTTTGTCACCTCCTAACAGGTTCTGCTTCCCCAATTCGACCAGGTCTCTTTCGCTGACATGGCCCAATCTCATGTGCCATAATTATGTCTTCGACATAAGTTTCATGGATGCAACATTTGTCAAACCACTTACAACCTCAGCCTCAAGGGTATACAAGCCTTGTTTCTTCACGCCTCTCAAGACTTCCTTCGACCCCTTCATGACTCTTAGGATACTTTTCTCTCCTTGAAAAACGTATCCTTTTTCTGTCGAATTCACCAAGAGAAATCAAATTTCTCTTCAAGTCAAGTATGTACCTGACTTCAGTCAATAACCTTATTGACTATAGAGCTTGAATCTCATAGATCCAGTACCTGCAATTTTGCAAGATTTGTTGTTTCCCAGCAGCACAGATCCATCATCTTGATCACATAGCTCCTCAAACAATTCTCTGTTTTGAGTCATGTGTCAAGTGCAACCTGAATCCATAATCCACTCTTTTCTCGAGTCGCCACTTGAAACCACGAGAACATCAGATGAGTCGAAGTCATCTTGAACAATGGGTGCATTGTCATTACCTCTATGATCTTTCAGGCGTTCAGGGCACACCTTTCTTATGTGACACTCCTTCTTATAGTGATAACATCGAATACTAGATGTTTCGCCATTATAAGACTTATGTTGACTTTTACCTTTCTTCTTGTTGAACTTACCATCCTTTCGCAAGAATTTTCCCTTAACGGCTAAACCTTCGCCCACCGTCGAAGATTTATGCTCCTTTCGTTCGTTCAAGTCCTTAGAATACAAGGCTGATTGAACATCTTCAAAGGTCAGAGACTCCCTTCCATATAAGAGAGTTTCTTTGAAGTGAGCATGTGATTTGGGTAAAGCACACAACAACAAACAGTGTTTGATCTTCATCATCGATCTTCACATCAATGTTTTCAAGATCAAGAATCAGCTTGTTGAATATACCCAACTGCTCAGCCAACACTTTGTCTTCACTCATCTTGGATGAATATAAAGCTTGCTTCAGGTAGAGTCAATTCACTCGAGATTTGGTCATGTACAAACTTTCAAGTTTCACCCATAATCCCGATGTTGTAGTCTCCTTTGATACTTGCCGAAGAACCTTATCACCAAGGCTCAACAATATTGCGTTGTGGGCTTTCTCGATCATGCCTGTCTTTTCTTTTGTCGTTAACGCAGCGTCCATGACTGCCTCACCCTTCAACGCTTCCAAACAATCCTGCTGAACCAACAGGGCTTTCATCTTCAAGCGCCACAGACCGAAGTCGTTCACTCCGGTGAACTTTTCAATCTCATACTTTGTTGAAGGCATCTTCTCCATGCTCACTGCACCAATTAGATGTGAATCGGATACCTTTAAACAAAGTATAAACTGTTTCTTAGCAAGAAACACACAAGGGTTAGGATTAATAAAGAAGAAAATAACAAGGATTGGTTATTAAACTGTTATTCTTTCCTTTCTCTTAGTACAAGATTACAAGTATACAAGAATAACAGAATAACCTCTCTCTCTTGAAATTAGGATTTTATCTTCCTATTTTTCCTTATGCCACGATTGAGAAACTAGCATCCTATTTATAATAAAATAGCACACTAACCTAATGGACTTTTTAACAATTACCCATTACAAGCTAACTTAGGATACAAGTTAACTTAAACAATTGGGCTTACAAGCAAGACCCAATTCAACATGCTAACAACCATAGCAATATTGACTAATGCATGTTAGAACAAACTTCGACTACAACACGCATTACTTGCGAACAGACTTCGACAACACTAGAGTTCGATCCAACATCTCACAGTTTTTCATATGCTACATTTCTTTGTCTTGAGCATTTTTTCATCCATTTTTGTAGTTTTTTAATTAAGTTGTTATTGTTAATAATTAATATTAATGTTTTCTATTTCATCTAGATATGAAAGATGTTCCTTTAACTCATTTTAACATTTGTATTTTCCATAGTCAAGAGATAATATACGAAAAGCATTAACCACACTTTTATTGAGGTGATTTATCAATTATCTTTTCTAATAATCTGGTTACGTTATAGTTAGAAAACAAGCTAAATAAATTGCTTCAATTTGATTTTTTCAGAAGGAGAAAATTTAAAATGTTTTGGACATTAAAAATCATCAATGAAATGGCATCTGAAACTTCCTTTCAACATCATGAATTTGTATTATATGATGACTTTTTGCAACAATGCAAATCGTAGCCTAGAGTGTAATAACTGTAGCCTAAGGCTTTAGGGGGAGGTTTATCAGACATGGAATAAACAGTTGTTGCATATTTCTTTAGAGCGCAATTTTTTATTTTTACCTACGGATTCAAAACATTGTTGTCTGAAACATCAAAAGCCCGCGATTTTAGTTGTAATTTTAAGTCATGGTTTTAGTTGTAGTTTTAAGTCGCGATTTTCTAGTAACAACACAAAATAACCATCCCCAAAACATGAAAAGGCAATGTTTAGTAAACAACAACAAAAGAAAATTGTAGCTAGTGTATAGTTTAATTTAAACAAACTATACTTAACCGCGCCTAAAACTTAGAAAAAGTCCACAGATTTTAATAAACAGCATGTAAAAAGCATTGCATGTGAATTGAAAAAAATTGGTAAATCTTGTAACTTCTATGTTGAACTTTAAATTTAAAGATATAATTACTAAAGAATTTCCTATTCATTTATATGGTGATACATTTCGGCCATAAACCTTCATTTCATTCTAATATATTATAAGTCAATATTATTAATTAAATGAGAAGAACCAAATGTATAAATTAATCAAAATATATCAATATGAAACATTAATGAGATGAAGTGTAGCAAACACTTTGAAATGTAAAAACAAATACTTTCAAAAATAAATCAAAACTCATTAAAATGTAATAAACTGAATAGTTGGCTTATGTAACTTGATAAAACATAAAATAATTCTCCATATTTATATCAATGAAGGTCTTCATCATATTTATTGTAGTGAGGATCATGAGAATCATCATCTTGAGAACCATCAATTTGATCATATTAAAGATCGTCATGTTGATCATATTGAAGATCGTCCTTGATCATAATGAAGATTGTCATCATCCTGAAGATCGTCATCATCCTGGAGATCGTCATCTTGTTCATCATCTTCGTTTCTAACCTGTAAATATGAAGAAAATGTTTTATAAATTAATATAAACACTAAAAAAAATCACCTTTTAAAGTCAAATAAGCAGATTTATTTCTATTCAAAGTGCAAAAGTTACTAAGCATGCACTAAACATAGTTAACCACACTTTTAAACACCATTAACCACAAATTTGTAAGTATTTAAAAGTATAGACATGATGTCTATTATATCTATTATAAATTTGAATATGTGCTTTCTTTATCATTTTCAGAATTCCATTGTATAAAGTAAAATATTTCTCATATGGTAAACCTTTTTATCTATATATGTTGAATGATTATTTCATTAAATTAAATTACATGCTTGGAGCATTTTACTTATATGTTTATATGTTTCCATCATTAAATTAAATTTCAAACAAGTAATAATGACTAATGATTTTGGAGTTTCTCTTTGTTCTTTTGCTTGTAAAATGAATTATGATATCAACGTGTATTAAAAATCATTGTAGGACATAACACTTTACTAGTTAAAACTATTATGTTTTCTCCCATTGTAAAGTCTATATAAATAATTCTCCTTCTTTGTCAATGAAGACTATTGCTATTTGTATACCTTAAAGAGCTATACTTAGATCATTCAAACAAAATAGGCAGTGCAAGTTTAATTCCTTTATTGATGTATTAGTCTTATAGTTTTTATGCTATCCTCTGTTTCTACCTGGTAATTCCTTTATTGATCATAGAAGTTACATAAATTGAGAGAGACAACCATGATATTATAAGTGTATCCGATGAAAAACTAAGGTTTCCAATATACCAAATTGTTCAAACTACCAACTAACTAACATGGTCTGAGTTATTAGTCTGCAAATACCATTTCCCACAATTTATAACAGAACAAGCATATCAACAGTTAAAATATATAAGCTGCCTAAATGCAAATTAAATAAGAATATTTACTTATGGAAATTTGTAAACAACTCAATATACGCAACAAAAATCAATACACTAAAGAAATAGCAACTCAACACTTAATAAAATAATGTTGATTTTGATTAATATCAATTGTAGTACCTTTTGATGAGAAGAAGCATAGGTTGATGTCGATGAGCGCGATGTTGAAATATTATCATTGTGCAACGCTTCTCTCATCTTATCATTTACTTCCTCTTCACTTAAATGTAGATTTTGTTGCATATACATATTTTTTAAAAGTGATTCCATTGCTCTCATCTTTTGCGTCATATCAGAAATTTTGCCATCATATTGCATTTTCATTAAAGAAATTTCTTCATTTTTTATCAACAATGATGGTGTGACAGATCTTCCATAACATCTCACTCTACATGTCTTTTCTTTTCAAAACAGTGATTGAAATGTTTGTGTTCCAGCTTCAGATGAATTTTCAATAGATTCTTGAAGTTTATCCTAATATATCAAACTATCAATTTTGAACAAAATTAAAAACTACATGTTCAATTAAAATGGATATTATAATTTAACTTGCAATCACAAATTGAGCATTACAACAAAAACAAGCTTAGGCAACGGAGGAAAACCATAGTTGTACATAGAAAAACTACAGCCTAAAAGTTTAGAGACGGTTTACTATGCGTGAAATTGTCGTTGCCTATGCCTACAAGCGACGGTTTTGGCATTTTCGACCATAGATTACTATAACCACTGCCTAAAATATATGAATAGACAACGGTTGTTATTACTGATTTCCGGCCACGGTTTATGTTAGGCCATGCTTAAGAAATGTTGCATATTCTTTAGTCTACGACTTCATATATACATCAAACTAATGGTTTTTACTTAAAGCCACATGTATAAAGCGTTGTATATACTTTAGACCATAATATTTGTGTTTCGTATAATTTTAAGCTCTCGCAAATATTGATAGTATGAAATTTAATTAAAATCAACGATTTATTTGTATTCATTATTTATAAAAAATCACTGCAAACATATAGTGAATTGAGTTCTCATTAAAATTAAATATACAACAATAAAAATCATCATCTCTAACAACAATAAAATCCTATGGAGATCATATGGATTTACTACTGCACCACATAAATGCTTTAATCCGCCAAGACATTACACCATGATCTCTTCCAAATGTCAAAACACACCATACCTGAAATCCATGAACAAAAAGATAATTGTGCAACAAATATGAGATAAACTTTTATTTTAATATCTATAAAAAAATACAAAATAAATGGCAAGACAAGGAGAAAATTCTAAATTCACATGTTAAAGTTTAAATAATTCAAGAATTCAAAGGTTAATTTATTTCTCAAACCCATTGAAATATCTAAATTCATGTGTTAAATACAAATTTATTTAATTTGAGAAATCCAGATGTCAATAGTAAGTAACACTAAAAGGCACATTTCTACATAAACACCAATCATTAGAATCATGGAACTGATATATATATATATATATATATATATATATATATATATATATATATATATATATATATATATATATATATATATATATATATATATATATATATATATATATATATATATATATATATATATATATATATATATATATATATATATATATATATATATATATATATATATATATATATATATATATATATATATATATATATATATATATATATATATATATATATATATATATATATATATATATATATATATATATATATATATATATATATATATATATATATATATATATATAAGTGACATTCCATTCTTTAGAAGGCTACCACAAGCATTAACCCAATTATTATTGTTACAAACATAAATTGGTGTTTGAAAAACTAATAATAATTGTAACACTAATGAGTCAAGCTCTTACATCCGAGATATATCACAAAACTGATTATATTACTATTTTACTATTTAATAAAATAATTCAACCAAATAACACTACTTTTTATTAGAATATTAATAGTAATTCATATTTATTTAGTTATACTATTTTCTTAGCCCCTAAGTTTGTTAGAGGGTATTTTAGTATTTTATCTTATTCTAGAAACCCTAGTTTTAGCTTATAAATAGGGTGACAATCATTGTAACTATTATCATGTTTTTGTAGCCGTCATTCTTAATAGAATATTTCCTTTCTTTGTTCATCATTTATTCACCTTTGCACCAACAATTGGTATCTAGAGCTCCGGTTCAGATTCATTGGGAAACACGGGAAACACGAGTGAACGTGAGGTCTTGTGTGTTTGATTTTGATTCTTAGATTCGTGTTGAATCTTGAACAAAATCTGATCAGAATTTTAATTCTGTGGGTTGGGAAACACTGTGTGAGAAATCTGAGTGTATTGTGCAAGGTGAAGATGAACGGAAACGGCAACATGAACACCAAGCTTCCAGTATTTGACGGTAAAAACTGGAATCGTTGGATGATCCAAATGCGTGTACTGTTTGGTGCTCAAGATGTTTTAGATCTTGTCACTGATGGTTATGTTCCGGTAGCAGCAAATGCAACGGATGAACAGAAAAACGCGCAGAAGGAAGTAAGGAAGAAGGATCAGAAAGCATTATTCTTTATTCATCAATGTGTTGATGTAAATGTGTTTGAGAAGATTGCAGATTCAACGACAGCAAAGGCTGCGTGGGACACACTGGTTAGATGTTATGGTGGTGACGCATCAGTGAAGAAGGTGAAGCTTCAGTCCTTGAGAAAGCAATATGAGAATCTCAACATGAAGAATAATGAGAAAGTTTCTGAATACATCTCCAGAGTGATTCTGATCACTAATGAGATGAAGGCGTGTGGAGAAACTCTTTCTGAAGAAACAATCATGGAGAAGGTATTGAGATCCCTTACCTCTCAATTTGATTATATTGTGGTAGCAATAGAACATTCCAAAGATCTGAGTACCATGAGAATTGAAGAGCTGCAGAGCAGTTTAGAAGCGCAAGAGTTGCGTTTGACTGAGAGAACTTCTGAAAGGGAAGTAGAGCAGCAGGCTCTGAAAGCAACTTCTGATAGGAGGTATCAGAAGCAGTCAGAAGCCAAGAGAAGATCTGATGGTGGTCAGAAGTCAGAAAGCTCAATCTCTGATAGGCAAAAGAATGCTTAGAAGGGAAAAGAGAAGTATGACAAGAAGAAGATCCAATGTTATTGTTGTAAGAAGTTTGGTCACTTTGCTAAAGATTGTTGGTCAAACAAGGAGAAGAAATCAGAAGAAGCAAATATAGTCAGAAGTTCTGATGACGAATCTGTGCTATTGATGGCCTCTGAATCTGATGATCTGACAGACTGGTGGTATATGGACACTGGTTGTTCAAATCATCTTACTGAAAACAAGAAATGGCTGGTTGACTTTGACTCTGAAAAGAGGACAAAGATCAGATGTGCTGATGACAAATATCTTAATGCAGAAGGTATAGGAAATATCAGAGTGACTCTGAACAATGGGAAAACAGCATTGATTCAGAACGTGTGGTATGTACCTGGCATCAGAAGCAATCTGATGAGTGTGGGACAATTAATTGAGAAAGGTTTTTCAGTTACCATGAAGGACAATCTTCTGAAGTTGTATGACTGCAATCAGAAGTTGATTATGGAGTCAGAACAGGGAAGGAATAGAACATTCAAGGTGAATGTCAGAACTGCAGACTCAGAATGTCTTAGTGCAACATGTGCTGAGAAGGAGAGTGAGCTGTGGCACAGAAGATTTGGTCATTTGAATTTCAGAAGCCTAAAACATCTGAATTCAAAGAAGCTGGTACATGGAATTCCTGCAATTAAGAAGCCTGAGAAGTCATGCAAAGTTTGCATGGAAGGAAAACAACCACGTTTGCCATTTGCGTCAGAAGTTGCTCCAAGAGCAAAACATGCCTTGGGAGTTGTACATTCTGATGTGTGTGGTCCATTTCCAGTAGCATCAATTGGAGGGAATAAGTACTTTGTGTTGTTTGTTGATGAATTCACAAGAATGACATGGGTATCCCTTATTAAATTTAAACATGAGGTGTTTGATAAATTCAAGAAGTTCAGAATGAAGGCTGAGAATCAGAGTGGTCAGAAGTTGAAGATTCTTAGAACTGATGATGGAGGTGAGTATAACTCCAAAGAGTTCCAGAAGTTCTGTGAGGAGAATGGAATTGAGCATGAGGTTACTGCTCCTTATACCCCTCAACACAATGGTCTTGCTGAAAGAAGAAACTGTACTTTGCTTGATATGGTGAGAGGCATGCTAAAGGAGAAGAAGCTTCCTCAGAAGCTCTGGGGAGAAGCTATTGCCACTGCAACGTATGTACTCAATAGATGTCCTACGAAGAAGTTGAAGGAAATAGTTCCTATGCAGAAGTGGACTGGAGACAAGCAAAGTGTTAGTCATCTGAAGGTGTTTGGTTCTGTTTGCTATAAACATGTTCCAGAAGCCAGAAGACAGAAGCTGGATGATAGAAGCAAAGTGATGATTCTGATAGGGTACCACAGTACAGGTGCATACAAGCTCTATTGTCCAGAAACCAATAAAATTGAATTCAGCAGAGATGTGATTGTGAAGGAATCAGAAGTTTGGAATTGGGATAAGTCTCAATCTGATTCTGATGTTAGAACTTCTGAAGAAAGGTCAGAGTTAAGAATTTCTGAAGTTGAAGTAAACTCTGACGTTGATTCTGACTCTGATAGTGATTCTGACTCTGGAGAAGACTCAGAAGATGAAGGTGACTCTGATGATCCAGACTCTGATGGTAATCCAGATTCTGGTGGAAATTCAGACTCTGAAGATGGCCAAGACTCTGAAAATATGCCAGATCTTGAAAATGGTCAAAGCTCTAGAGGAAGTCAACCATCTGAAGCTGGAAACTCTGAAGCTCAAGACTCTGAACAAGTCCAGAGACCATAAAGAATCAGAAGCGTTCCCAAAAGATTTGCAGAATTTGACATGCTGCAAGACACTGAAGTAGACTCTGAAGGAGAAGTTATTCAGTGTGCCATGTTAGTAGACTCTGAACCTATAAGTACAAAGGAGGCTCTTAAGCAGAAGCTCTGGCTGAAGGCCATGAAAGAATAACTTGATGTTATAGAGAGAAATAAGACTTGGAAGCTGACAGAACTTCCAAAAGACAAGAAAGCCATCAGCGTCAGATGGGTTTTCAAGCAGAAGTTAAAGCCAAATGGCTCAATTGGCAAACATAAAGCAAGGTTGGTAGCCAGAGGATTTCTACAAAAACCTGGGCTGGATTACTCTGAAGTGTTTGCACCTGTAGCAAGACATG